TGGGACAATACAACAGGCTGCGTGTGAACAGTCAGCCGCTTTCACTAGGAGTGTCCATGTTCAACACATGCCCCCTCTGCACTTAACTTGTCAATTGCTTTAACATTTGGTAAAAACGAGTTTCTCAAGCAGCATTTTCTTTACACCTCTGGATGACGATGATTCCCATTCATGTGACGTAATCAGCCAGATCACTGATACCCGCACATGCTAAATTTTGGGTCAGTGATTACTCTCTGTTCAGGATGAGATGGCTGTTGACACAGTGCATATGTCAGGAAACATAATTTCTAATGTATCAACCTCTTTGCCCTGCCCACACATCTTGTTTGGCTTGGAAATTTTTCAGTTGCAATGCTAATCGAGAAATATGATGATGCCTGTAAATGTATGCATCATGCTGGTGATGCCACTTGTTTGCTCTGGGCTTGCCAGGTTGCCTCTGTCTACTTGTCACCACAGAAAGTGAGTCACAGTTGTGCATGTGCAGAAAACCTAAGGACACATTTCTGCGAGTCTCTGTATCAGAGCCTGTCAGGTTTGTCATGACTGGCAGATCGGCGCTGTGTCCAGCAGGAGCGTAGAAATAGACTTGCGGGTGGAAATGCCACTGGAGTTGGGTTCGTGCCTTTTTCTTCGTTGTATCAGAAAGATGAAAAGTTGGTGTCCCCAGAAGAGGCCGGGAGCTGTTTGCTCCAAAAGTCCCCTGCTTCAGGAGACCATCCTAGCTCATCACATCTCACAGCCGTGTCCCGAGAGGGGCAAAGATTTTCACTCCACTCAGTGTGCTCATAAGTCTGTCCCTCCAAAGAGAGGAACTGCATACGTGGTGGAGAAGAGGGGAGAGCGCTCCGAGTGCCTTCTCTGTACCAACGTGGGTCTTGGCACCTGGGGAGGTCTTTGGATAGCAGCAGAGATAGGAACAGTGGGACCTGTCTGGCCACCTGGGAAGCAGGGACTTGACGTGGTGACCCAGCATCCCTCATAGGTCTGTGGATATGACATCCAGGAGCTGTGCATTTCTCAGTACATCGAGTCTCCTTAGACCTTCTTACATGATGGAGAAATAATGAAGGCTGCAAGCCTGATCTGTTTGCCCTTGTTATTAACTCTCAGCCAGCTGTAAGCCGTGACCGCCTTCGTGTGAACAGCAGGAGAAGAACCAGGCTGTCCTCTGGATCATTTGGCTATTGCCCCTCCTCCTAACAAACCTTTTGAAGAGTTTTTTAACATGGACTATCTCAAAACTGACACTTCCTTATGGTGGGCATTGTTGGGGGTCAAGGTAGAGCAGATATTTGCATATGTGCAGAAGGTGTGGGCAGCATTTTACGTGGTGATTCTCACTTTTAAGGCGGAAGAATATAAACTAGGGCTGTATATTTGCTGTTGTAAATGCTTGAAGGTGGTAACAGAAATGGGGTTTCCACCAGTTCCCATGGGAGGAAAAGATGCCTGAGCAGGGTGCGTTTTTTTGGCAGAATCCCTCTCCTCTAGGTACACAGGGTTTGGCCCATGTCTGCCGTTGTTGCTTCTCAGCGTGGGGCCAGGGCTGCAAGGAACACTGCGATCACCGTATGGCAAACCAGCGTGCTTCTGGTAAATGGTTCATGTGTGGGCATCCAAAGTGTGGCTAGAGGTGATCTCAAAAAGAGGTGCCAGCCTTTCCAAATTAAAACGCTGTCCAAAGCTCCGTGGCTGAAGTTTAATATTTACAGATATTTTAGACCACGCACACGAAAAAAGAGTGATGTGAGACCAATGAGCAAGCTGTGTTTGATGAGTGAGCAGTTCGAATGTGGTAGACCTTATAAGGTGGCTGAAGACCATGGCCAGCCATAAGACCTTGGTTTACCGGTGCAGAAGGTGGGTTACCCTTACGCAGGAGCTACAGTAGTGTGCTTGTGTGAAGTTTTTGCACACTTGAGCCGAGGTGTTTTCAGGGAAGAGTCTCGGGCACACATTTCTGGTCATTTTCCAGAGAAACACGTTTGTTTGCACATCTCCCAGATGCTGGCTGTAGTGAGTCTTTCCTGCACCTTCCCCTCATTCTCAGACACAACCCTAATTTTACAGCATCTTGTGCATCGGATTTTCCTCAAGCAGGGCTATACCATGTCATGCTTTAAATAGTAGAAGCTGGTGCATGGTTAACAGCAAGGCTCACAATGTTGCTCATGGAGATTGAAGTAAGCATTCTTAAATTAATGGTGTGAAGCAGTTGGACCTTAAAGCATAGTTTAACTGGTTAGATAAGCAACTATACATAAAACCTGAGAAATGTCCCTGTTGTCATTGACAAGGAGCCACTGAAACTTGGAAAGTCTGTAGAACATCTCAGTCACAGCGCACATCAAAATAACTTGAAGGACAGTATGTTTGCCTGGGTGAGAAGTGGTAGAAGTAGATGCGACAAATAAGATTGGTAAATTGTTCTGCCACGTTTGGTATATTTAAAATTTCCAGTGAATTTGATTCAGTGCACTGTGATGACCGTTCAGAAGCCTTAATTATTCATTACATTGCATGCATGTCACACACACACACTTACTAAAATCCTGCAAACGGTGGGGTGTTTCTGAAGAAGGCAGTCAGCAGGCCAGAAGAGTGGTGCTGTGGCTCTGACCTTGGCTGTCACAGAAAAACCATGAAGCTACGAATAATGGGTGCTAATCCTGATGTGTTTGTGGCACCAAGTGCTCTGCTCACCTTCTGCAGAAGAGCAGGGGCAAGCCTTCATTCTGGGGGCCCAAGAGCTGCGGAGGGGAGTTACACAGGGTGGGCGCTCGTCCACAGCAAACACCGCGGTACCTGCAGCTCACCTGATCTCGGACAAATATCTGGGGTGAGCTCAAGTCAGTGGTAAAAGCCTTCCCAGGAGAGCCTGGAGTTTGCCTCTGAAAGTCAAGTGTGGGGGGTGTTGCACCGCATCACTTTTTAAAGGAAAGGATTGCAAGAAGATGACAGTTCTGAAAACCTGGTCCTGAGGGAGAAACGAAGTATTTTAGACTTTAAAGCAACACCTTCTAGCTTGAGGTGGAAGATGTTTGTTGGGCTAGGTGTTTCAGTGCCCTTTCTAAGGCAACTCTGTTTCTAGACACATTAACACCAAAAAAGAGGTCAGCGACTTGCCTGTAAAATCTGAACTGGGATCCAGGGCAGGGGTGGGGGGGACCCTCGGGGATGGCCAGGGGCAGTCAGTCCCAGCGATCCCCTCAGGGCTCTGACATAGTCAATGGCTGTACCGGGGTGTTGTTTCCAGTGCTGGATCCCCCAGTTCAAGAGGGATGTTGGGACATCCCTGTGCCCCCGGGTCTGGCACAAGGATACCAAGATGACAGGGGCCTATGAGGAGAGGCTGAGGGATGTGGGCTTGTTGGAGATGGGCTCGGGCTGACCTGATAGCAGCTGACACGTGCTTGGAGAGGAGTTACAGAGGCAACAGAACCAAGCTCTGCTCCATAGAAATGGCCAGAACAAGAAGCGGTAACAAGCACAAGTTCTGTACTGGGAGTTTCAAGCTGGCCGTCAGGGAAAAAAAATGTCACCAAGAGGTTAGTTGCCCAGAGAAGAAGCAGAGTCTCCACCCATGGAGGTTTTTGACGCTCAGCTAGACAAGACCTCAGCTGACCCAATCAAGTGTTGGTGACCATCACATCTGGGCAGGAAGCTGGACTTCCTGTGACCTATGGATGGATTTCATGGGCAACACCATCCATAACTGAAACTGGTCTGCCCTTTTGCCTCCAAGTTTGGCAGTTCCAATTAAATGCTGCTGTACCACAGAAAGGAGGTTCCTCCTTGAGGCGCCATACATGTCTAGGCCACCAGAGGCTTGCTGGCTGACCACAGAAACCATAACAGACACTTGCGTATGCATTCATAGCCTGAAAACAAATGCACTGTTATCAAAGGAGGAGAAGGACCCCACCATATGCAGCTGCTGATAATGAAGTGCTTTGTGCATTTGAACCTTTGCTGGGTGAGGAGACAGCCTGCTGCATGCAGGGCTAGTGGTGGGTCCCGGGGCAGGGTAATGCTGACCAGCTGCAGCACCCCAGCATGGAGTGACCAAAGCAGTGGGAACCCTGGACCTTGGGGGTGACCAAAGCACCGGGAACCCTGGACCTCGCAGTGCTCTGTCCCATAGCTGCATGCAGCACCGGAGCAACCCATGTCCCGTAGCAGCACTTGCTATATACGGGACACTTTTTGCCCTGCTGAGCAACCAACCAGCCCCTCTGTTCCCTCTCCAAGCAAGCTTTTTGGTTTCTGGCTGTTTAATAACCCTCTTAGTTGTTTTGATTTTTCCTCGGGGTTTAAGGAAAAGCGGCTGTGAATGGCTGTACTAATTGCCAGGACTTCATAAACAGCTCCCAGGGCTACTGCACACCCTGGAAGTTCCAAGGGATTGCTGGTGCTGGCTTAATGCCTGGGGAGCTCCTGGGTTGGGCCTTCCGCTCCTGTCTCGCTGGAGGGAGATGATGCACGCCCCGCTCACCCCTCCACAGGTCATGCAAGGCAGAGAGGCTCCACTGCACCCCGCGGGGATAAAGCCACGGCAATGGAAATGAGTGGGAGGGGAGGGCTGGAAAGAGGGGTGGGGGGTAGGGGGCGGCAGGTTGTA